GGCGGTAGCTGCGGCGGCAGCGGAGACAGCGTTCGGACCAGCGGTGTACGTGCCGTTGTAACTCGTGTTGATCACCGCCTCATCGAGGTCGGTCTCCAGTAGGCCGACCGGGCGCTCCTGGGCGGCCTGCATCGCGCGGGCCTTCGCCATCTCGATCGCCGCCGGGTTACCAAGGTCCGTAGCGGCGCGTCGGCGCGACGCCGACGCCGATGCCGACGCCGACGCTCGCATCGTTGTGCCCAGAGCGGCGACGCGCGGCGGTTGTGGCGGCAGGGGCGGCTTGCTGGACACTGGTGCCCTCCCGTTGCTGCTGCAACAACGAATAGATAGACAACTCTTCGGGGATAGTCGATCGGTGGTTGAGAAGGTATCGAGGAAGCGGCTTTCGCGATAACGCGGGTGGTTTAACTTGGATACAAACTGCTGATTGGAAACCTCGCTGCGCCACGACCGGGACATCGCGAATCTAGGAAGAAGTTGAAGATCGGGAGAATAGAAAAGAGGCTTGGGTGAACGAGCTTGATGAGTTGAAACGAAACCCGATTGGCGAACCAACCGACAACTAACTGGTTTTACACAGCGCCGTTACGTTACGTTAATACGACGTTATGCGGTATAATTGGATATCGACGGATTGCATCAGAGCTTTAAGGGTGACCCTGATGCGCGCATTTCGCTGGGGAAGCTCATAAACTGATGTTACACCGTTAAAATGTTATGATAATGAATTCGCAATAAAAAGCAGCAATGAAGCTCAATATTAAGATACTTATCGGCATCGGACCATTAAAATCTTTCTAAGATCCCTATGAGCATTAATATCGTTAAATTGCTTATCAATTTAATTTGTGGTGTATTATACTACTCCAATTCGGTTAGGATTGTTCGGGATCATTTCAAGACTACGAATTACATTTCACGCGCAATTTACAGGATTGGGTACGTAGTACATCAATTTCTATCGAATTATTTAAACATTCGCTTAACTTTAGAGCCTTTATTCCCGTACTGGTACAATTTGAGCAGTACTAACGAGTATACCAGTATCGAACCAGAACGTTGAACAGTTTTTGTTCCGCACGTGACGCTATTGTCACGCGGTAATTGGCAATTGACGTTGAAGCGTATTTTATGCTGTCGCAACATCGGTTTTCGATAGATGGACAGGTTGGGATGAGTGGTGTGCTCTCTTTTTTGTCATCCCCTTGACCGGAATTGGGGATATTAACCCCTTGCATTCGGCGGGTATCTCGCTTAATCTAATTGTCGCTGACAAAGCTGATATATCGCAATTCCGACTGGAACATCGTGAAAAGTTGATACATCACAGAAAGCTAATCGCAATAAATTTGTCAACCTCTAGTATATATCCTTAACTTTGCGTTGTTAAAATGTCAATAAAAGATTTGTACATCACAGTTGATTGTCGAGCGCTCTACTTTCGAGACATTAATCGTGAATTAAAAGATACCTGTGATTATAACAACTTTCACTATCAATAGGAGCAGTTTTTTCAATTATTGCAGGATTTATCCACTGATTCCCACTAATTTCCGGTTTTAGATTAAATAACTTTTATTTAAACATTCAATTTTTATCTATATTTTTTCACTGGAGTTAACCTTACTTTTTTCCCCCAACATTTCTTAGGATTAAGGGGCATACCTCGCCCGATACACTGATTATCCTGATTCTTATTTATCATGAAACATTATTTCATCTGGTTCCCTTATCTCTCTATCCTAAGACTATCAATTTTATTATTTATTATTTGAGAAGCCCTAGCAAAAAAACGTCTTGTTATTAATATATTTTTTCTTAACTCTTCACTAGAATGATTAAATTCATTTCCCCCTCTCCTCCCCTTTTACACGAGACAAATTACACCGACTTTCGCTTTTCCACCTCTAATCCGCAAAGTCCAGATACGCGAGAGACAGTAGTTGCTTTATTGAGTTCTTAACGGCAGACATATAACGCATCGATAAAGGCATGGCTGTATATCTCGGCAAAGGGAGGACAGTCATTAATGAGACACTTTCTATCTGCCACGAGTACAATCTTCTAGATAAGCAGCTGAACACAGCGAACTACTATTCCTCGAGATCTCGTTACATTACGAACGAGTACGAAGCTGCAATATCTCTCCCTACCCCCCCCCTCTCCCTCTCTCTCTCTCTCCATCCATCTTTATCTCTGTTTCTGCCTCTGTCTCTATTGTGAAGCCGTCAGGGAGTTCTAATCTGTTATAGCCGATGATCTTTGACCGCGAGTTTGCGCGATTACAAAATAATCAGCGCCAAGTTTTAGTATGTTGGAAGTTCGTTTGGAAGAATGATTCGATTACCAGTTTGATTAACGAATTAAGTTTCCTCAGATGCATTATAAAGTATCTTACATACGTAAGCAAACGCTGCCTTATCAACGATAGTTTTTCCTGTACATTTTCCGAAGTGTGACACACTCGGAGAAGAATAATTACACTAGAGACTTAATAACAATAAGAATTATAAATCTTGGGTGAGCTGAGGTAAATTCATAAAGCGAGAAGCAAATGAAATTACGGAAGCCTCGCTCGCGAGGCGTGATTCAGCGACGCGACGCGACAAACGGTTGTCGGCTTTATTATCGAAGTATAGCGTGAGATCATGTTTATAAACGCGACGATGGGGTATCATCAGTTTCTAAAATTAGTATACGATCGATCGTAAAAACAACGGCGAATTTTGGGGCTCCGAGAATGAGCTGAGAACTCGTACTCCGAATAATTTCCACTTTTCCAATTTCGGCAGACGTCGACGCCCAGCCCAATATCAAAGCCAAAGGGACGATGTGTAACATATGGGACAGGAAGATGAGATAAAAGGGTGGGTTATGGACATTCCACATGGAGAAACAGGCGTTGAAGCCTGAAAAAGAAATTACAAGCTTCATCTTGTTTTGTTCCCAGCCCCCAATTCTGTAACTCTTAATGACAGTAACGATATCGTTGTATCGCGCGGTTTTTCTTGTCATGTAAAAAAACCTGCGCAACGACAACAATGTAACAGTGCCATTAAGAGAATTACATTTACATTTACAGAATAAGAACCTTATTGTCGTTTTTAAAAATTAAACTTCCAAATTAATATTTTTCAGGTTTATTTACGAAGATAACGTGTACTTTCATCAACATTAACTGCTACACCAATTAGACTTGGCATCTCTCGCGAGTAAATTCTACAAAATGGCGCCGTCAGGTTTAGCGGATTTAATCCGCGCGATACGCGGCCTTGCGCTACGACGTAGTAACTCTACGTCCCGACGACGATGGAACGCAGCTGTAATGGAAGCTGAGCTGGAATGAGCGCGGGAGTTAGCTTAATTGCGGCTTCGTTAAAGAGTCGGCTAAATGGTAGCGTTTGTTGCGTTTCCAAGGCGGTGGAATAAATCGGGGAGGGGGCGAAAATAGGCAGACGCAAAAAAAAAAAAAGAAACGAAAAGAAAATAAGAGACGGAACTGGAGAATACTGCTAGTCCTTTTACTGCGGCGACGGAGAAGGAAGTAAAAAGCTCAAAGAGGACAGAAACCCCGTGATTAGAGTCCCGAACGTGACGTTGAACCCGTCTCGAACGCGACTTCCGGACTCTCTCGAACCGGAATGGAATAAGATTAATACAAGGCGACTCTCTGACCGGCACTACACCTACACACACGCAAAGTGTATATTTAACTGTGGCACGAGACGAACGAGCTCGCGTCCCGAGTTCGCGTCGCACTAAATCGAGCTACCTAGGAATGACGAAATATTTTTGCCTCATTTTCATTAAATATTCTAAAATGCTCAATGATTAAGAAATTAAAAAAAAAAAAGCCAATTGAAAAAAAAACTAAGCGAAATAAGACCGCAGTCTCCGATTCCATCTCTTTTTCCCATCAAAATTACAAAGATTATTCGGAATAGCAATGGAAAAGAAACGTTTAAAAAGCAACTAAAGAGCGACATATAACTCCTATCGATTTAATACCGCGAACACATGTGAAATATTATGAATGAAAAAACAGTGGATTGGCTATAGAAATTGCCCCAATTATTCAGCCGCCGGATGCTGGTGAATTATGTTTTCTGGAGCTGGACGTCGCGTGAGATATTTTGCGTACTCTTGCATAACTAACTCCAATTATATATCGCATCCTCGCCAAGGAAGTTGGACTCGCAGACTCCAGCTCCGCTTGCGAAAGCTCGAACGGCGGCGGCCTCCTAAATTACATCCCGCAGCTTGCGGATGATGATTCATCGCCCCTAAACGCGAGCAAACGGGCGTGGGATATCGGCCGCGTTCTGTTTAACATCTCATCAAACAAACCGAGAAACGCTGCAGCCGCCGAAAATCCCTGGTATGCTGTAAATAAGATAATCCCTCGCCGAAGTGTATATTGCGAGAGCGAAGAAATAAATTCCGAAATGTGAGTCCGTTATGCAAGCTCATGAAAAAAAGATGTCATGAATGTCGGAGATAATTACATGCAACTCTCTCTGTACGAACGATTAATAAATATTACTAAGTTAACGCTGCTGATTTGTAACATTTGAAGCCGGCAGGATTTTGACAGGATGAAAAGAATTACAAATCGAAGATTAAATGAGTTTATCAATATTCATATTATTTGTAAAAGGAAATTTACTAACAATAAGTGTAATATAAAAGAATTTTTTGAGAGAATTATATCATGGCTTGAACAAATTAAATTTTTTCAAAACATTCCGTACAATGTAATACAACGTACAACGTATTTTGCGTGCAAATCAGAGAGAAACTAATTTCGACATTCTGACGAAAAGCTGTTTCGCGCAGAAAATAGAAGCCGCTCTCCTCTTTCTTCTCGATGAAACTTTTTCGGCGCA